CAGCACAGGGCAGGCACTGCACTGGGCATGGGGTGGGCAGACCCAGCCCCGGTCTCCAGGCTCCAGGGAGAGTTGTTGTGAGGGAAGGGAGGCATTGGGGCTGCCCACACTGTGGCCTGCTCCTGCCCCATGCTCTCCTGGCCAGAGCTCCCTGTCTTCACAGTGCCCCTGACCCCTGTCCTCATAGCAGTCATGCCCCTGTGGTCCCCTCAGGGACTCTCCACTGTGGGACTGCCTGGCTGTGATTGGGGCTGGGACGATGGGACTTGGGCTGTCCTGTCCAGTGGAGCCCAGCACAGCTCCTTTCCTAGTCCAGGGGACCCCAGGTCCTGGGTTCCTTTCTGGGATAAATCTGCTCCTCTCTCCCTAGCCTCTGAGTCCTTATTTGAGAGACCGTGTTTGAGTGTGTGTATGTAGGTATGTGTTTGTGTGTGTGAATGCATGTGTGCATGGGTGCATGGGTGCATGTATGTGAGTGTGATGTGTCCTGTGGTGTGGGCTCCTGTGATGATTCGAAACAGCATTCCAACATCCACCTGGATCATACAGAAGTGGATACACTCTTGGCCTGAGCAGCAAGGCATGGTAGGGTCTTGGACGGCCTCGTCTCCTTCAATTCAGTGCCCACCACTCCCTCTCGCCCGGCTTGGATCTGCCTCCACCCCCTTGTTGCCTTGCTGCTCTGACAGGGTGTCTCTGATCACTTTTCTAAATGGGGGGGGTGTTCAGGCAGTGAGGCAGGGAGGGGGCAGGCAGGGAGGGAGGTGGGGTGGGTTCGCACTTATTGTCATGGAGTTGATCACGATGCTGGCCAGGGACATGCCTGAGAGCAGCCGGAAGGTGCAGTAGAGGGGGAAGTTGGGGGCATAGGCAGCGCAGGTCCCCGACACGGCTGTCTGCAGGTAGTTCAGGATCAGCACCTTGCGGCGGCCCAGCCTGGGGGAGGGGAGACCTCAGCTGGGCTGGGCGGGGGCCAGGCGAGACCTGGCTGGGGTGTTGAGGACTTGGGCTGCATTGCGAGGCTGGGGCTAACGGTTCCCAAAGCAGCCCCTAAGAGGCAGATCCCCCACCCACTCTGTCCCGGGCCAAGCCCTGCACTGACCTGTCTGCCAGGTGGCCGAAGGACATGGCACCTAGTAGCACCCCGACCATGTAGAGGGACTGAGCCAGCTGGCGGAGTGCCCGGTGTGAGCACACGAGGTCCCACTGCGGGGAGGGGTGAGCTCAGGCCGGTAGCCTCATCCCTGATACCTTGGCTTCCAGGTCCCAGGTCTGAGGGCTCTACCTCCAACCCAGCAGCTCCCATGCCTGTGTTCATGTGTGTGCATGTATACGTGTATGCACATGAGAGTGTGTCCCTCTGTGGGCATGTGTGTGTCATGTGCAGATGTGTATGTGTCCCTGAAGGGGCACCATCCTCACCTCTGTCACGATGGTGGACAGGAAGGTGCTGTTGTCGTAGACCCAGCCGTCTATGCAGGGCTCCACGGCCTCTGTGATGTTGGCTGCGGTGCTGTTGGTGAGGGGTGGTCCCCGCCTCAGAGTGGCAAAGCGCAGGCAGGACTCAGGCTGCCCCCGTGGGTCCTGGGGCAGCCAGGCCTCCAGATCCCCATCCGTGATGAGGCTGGCGTTGGGAGGCGGGCGGCAGCGGTGGCGGGGGATGGCAGCTGTGAAGTTCTGCAGGGTGTTGTGTGAGGCCATCAGGAGCAGTGGCAGGACCGTCAGGGCAACCTGGATCTGCTGGAAGCGGCCAACACCCCCCACCTGCTTCAGGAGGTCGTTGAAGGCCATGGAGCCGCCCGGCTGGTGGCAGGGATAAGACGTTGTCTCGGGGCCACTGACTGCCTGTCTGTCCTCCGTCCTCTGCCGGCAGCTGTGTCTGGGCTGAGGCTCTGCAGGGCTTCAGCCCGGGCTCCTCCTCCTCCTCCTCAGCCTGGTTCTGTCCCTCCCTTCCCCTGCAGCTTCTCCTCACTTTGGGGTCTGGACAGCCCTGACCCTGACGCTGGCAGCTTTTAATCCTTGGCCCAGAGGGAATGAGTTAAAGTGTGACTGAGGGTCAGCAGGATTAACCCTGCGAGGACTCCCTGTATCCGTGGAATTTCTCCAAGTGGGTGTAAAGGGCAGGAAAGGGTGGATGAGGCAGGAGAGGAGAGAGGGTTGCGCCAGGCACCTGGGAGCAGAAAGGGACACAGCAGGACCTCTGTGTCTCTGATAGTGAGGAGACAGCCCAAGGAGTGTGTGGGGCCTCTTGTGTCCTTTTTAGTGGACAGGATGGGAACAGTCTCTTTGGGAAGGTTGCCAAGGAAAATTGAACTTCAGTTCAGGGAATAATGCTTGAAAAGTGTGAGTTGTCTTGCACATTGCACTGAATGCACTTACTCCAAGACACTGGTTGGGATAGGAGTCTGCCTGGCATCTTGTGATCTGGGGTGGCACATGTCTTCTAGGGCCACTTTTTTTTTCAGGGTCACGGTTTTGAGTAGGAGGGAGGAACCACACAGTGTCAGAGGTTGCCCTTGAAGGTGGAAACCACAGGCCAATGTTGTGGTCACTCAGCTTTCACCTTCTTCTTCTTCTTTTTTTTTTTTGGTACTGGGGATCAAACTCGGGACCTTGTGCTTGCAAGGCAGGTGGCAGAACCACTGAGCTAAATTAAATCCCCAGCCCTGCTTTCACCTTCTTGATGGCTGTGATTCTAATTTTCCCCATTGTCATGTCTCTTGTCTACTATTTTTTTAAACAATGAGTACAAACTTAATCTCGTTTTTTGTCATGATGCTGAGACATCTCTTCAATTCTCTGATATCTTTGGCTCCTAATCCTGGGCCACCCTATCAGTATTGGACGTGCCTTGCTGGATCAAGGGCTGGGGATGCCGAGAGAGCCGGCTGTGCCTGTGTTCACCTGGCACCATGTGCATTATGTAAGATGCCGACTCTGAGTTGGTCTGCTGGACCCAAGTGTTCCCCCGACCCTTCTGGCTTGGTGACCAGGGCTTTTCAGTTCCTGGGTGGGTGGCCTCATTTGAAAGATAGGGATAATCATTGGAGTTGTTGGGCTTTAAATGAGCTGATTCAGGTAAAGAGCGTCCAGAGCTTCTAGCCAGGGGTGTTAGTTACTTTTTCATTGCTGAGGCAAAATGCCCAAAAGGAATGTTTGCTCACAGTTTGAAGAAGTTTCAGTCTGTAATCGACTGATTCCGAGGCAGGGTGGCTTGGTAGAGGGGCAACACAGAGGAGAAACCGTTCATGGCAAGCAGAGAAGCAGAGGACAGCAAAAGCAAGCAAGCAAGGGACCTTATCAGTGTCTTTCTGTTCCTTTTATCTTATCCAGGCTACCTAGGGTGAGTGGCACTCACACCATTAATCCTAGTGTCCTTGATCCTAGCTTTGCACTATGAATCAATTCCAGCATTGCACACTCTAGATCCAGCCACCTCTGAAAAAGCCCCACCATGACCCATGAGGCTTTGGGGACATCTAGAAGCAGCCATAGCACCAGGTGAGGCGGTATGCACCTGTAGGACCAGCTATTTGGGAGGCTGAGGCAGGAGGATGGCTTGAGCTCAGGTGTTTGAGACCAACCTGGGCAACATAGTAAGACCCCATCTCAAAAAGCAAAGAACAAAACAAGACAAAACAAACCAATATAGCTCAGCAATTGTGAACTCTCATTTGTTTGTGGAGAGAGAGAGACAGAGAGAGAGAGAGAGAGAGAGGGAAGAGGGAGATTATCACCTTGATTTTAGAGAGAAAATATGCCCAAGCTCATCTTACCCTTAAAAACAGTGATTTTTCCTGGGTGCCTTTGCCTCCGTTATTCACCCCTGAAGATATTCTTGTGGCCACATTTGGAGAGGTAGGTGTGTCCGGCTTACAGGGTCTGTACCCAGGAGTGGTGTCAATGCCCAGAATAGCCCCACACCCTGTCATCCTGACTCTCCTGTTAGTGGTGAGGGTTGAGAAGCCTAGATTTATGCCATGTGGAGACCACTGTCTATCTGCTTGTCATAGAAGATGCTGCCCACCAAGATGTCTTCTTGGGCCCTCACTGCAGAGGGGGACAGACGGGCATACTCAGACTCCCCTACCCAGGGAGAGGTCAGGATCCAGCCTGCACTCGTCTGAGCTGCTCTGCTGTGTCCTGTGTTGGTGCCTGGGCAGAGCTGCTGTCCTGTCCTTCTCTGTGACCTCGCTCCAGTGACCACCCCTCAGCACTGGAACATGTCAGGAAGCAAGGGCTGGCCAGGGCTCCACCATGCACACAGACTGGTGTGGAGGCTGTGAGGGGAGGGACCTGCCTTGCAGTAGAAGGAGGCCTAGTTTGGAGCCCTCCTCAGTCCCTGAGATGCAGTTTGTATGTGAAGCCACCAAGGTCCTTAGTGTCTACTGAGGCTCAGGGTCCTGGAGGCCCTGCCCCAGCTTAGAGCTCCCCTGTCTCATGTCAAAGCTGGGCTCCTAGCTCCTGGGTAGCTGTGGAGGTGTAGACTGCTGGCTGGAAGCACACTGGTGATTTGGTCTCATGCACAGAAGAGAGCAGGGGAAGTCTGGAGGGGACTCAGCCCAGCCCACTGCCCTGTGCTGGCTCTGCCTGGCCCCATGGGGTCCAGATGCCTGAGGACAGTGTGCACGCCAAGGTACACAAGAGCCTGAGGCCTGGGGAGACGAGTACAGCTGGACAAACAGCTTGGGGCCTTGGGCCAGGTTCCTGCAGGTCCAGCTGCCCACAAAGGGCATGGGCGAGGGCCGAGGACAGCAGGGTGATGTGGCCCTTCAAGCATCCCTGCCTGTGCCCAGCTGAGCAGCCTGGCCCAGCTGAGTTCGAGAGGCCCTGCTGCAGATGCATGTTGGTTATAGCCGTGCAGGCAGATGCGGACACGTGCACACATCTGTGCCGGCCTGGCTGTGCCACATCTGCATTCACCATACAGAGGACAGGCATGTGACCTGCATGTCACTTGGTGGCTGTCCTTGTCCCCACCCTGAGATGTACGGCTTGAGTTCTTGTTGCCGTTTATTGAAATTTCCCATCCAAGAGAGGGGTTAAGGGCAAGAAGGGGATGCTGTCTGCCAGGGTTGAGCCAGGGGACCTTGGGAAGAGGCCGGAACCAGGGGGACAGCAGGGCCTGGGGTGGGCGATGGGCCTGAGGTGGGCAGGCAGCTAGGCTGGCTGTGGCTGAGGCCCTGGAGGAGGGGGTGGGAGGCTTCACTGCACCCACAGAAGGCTATGGAGGGTGCACAGACCTGCCCAAGCCCCACCCCAGGCAGGGCCCAAGGCAGGCAGGGCCATGAGGGTTGTTGTAGGGGTCAGGGAGGGCCCTGTGCTCAGCTGGGGCCCAGGCCTGGTGTGCTTGACTTTAGAGGTATCTTCTGGCCCTCCTTCACCTCCAGCTCCAGCTTTGTATCCTTTGCTGGCTTGCACCTGGAACAGAGGCAGGCACAGCCCTGAGCCCTACTTGCTGCCTGGAGCCACGGAAGGCAGAAGCGGGAAGCTCACCACTGCTGCATGTCCTCGATGTTCTCTGGCAGAGGGTGGTTGAGGGTCTCAGGCAGGAAGAAGGCAGCGCTGCCTCCTAGGAGGGCCATGGTCCCGTAGATGATGTTGGGGATGATGGGCTGCACCTCACCTGTGATCTTCACCAGTGGGGCAATCATGCTGCCCACGCGGGCCCACATGTTGGTGATGCCCATGCCTGTCTGCCTGGGAAGGGGTTTGGAGCCAGGGCTGTCAGCCCAAGAGGCCCCGGGGCCCCTGGACAAGGACAGGAGGACTCCCCAGCCCTGTCTGGCCCAGAGTCCTTTGGGCCAGGACCCCACACCTACCGGATGACTGTCGGGTAGAGCTCACTAGTGTAGAGGAAGATGCAGCTGAAGGAGCCTGACAGGCATCCCTTTCCAAACACAGCCAGTGCTGTCTTCAGGATGTACATGTCTGCAGGTGAGGATGTGTCAGGGGCCACGCAGTTCAGGAGCACCCACCTATCCTTCCTTAGTAGACCCTGTTTTCCTTTTAGCCCTGGCTGCCAGGAAGCTCAGATCCAAACTGAAAGACAGCATCCCTATTGCTGCTCCTGATGCTCTGCATGCTGGGTGTGGCCGTGTCTGTTTCCCCTTGGCTCTGATTCTCTATTCCTACTTATATTTTGTTGTATGCGTCCTTGTCCTGAAAGACCTCAAATTCCTTTGGAGGGGCAGAGGCATACTAACAGACATTCATCTAAAATAGAAGCTGTTTTCCCACTGGGTGGTGGTTTTTGGGATCTCTCCTGAGCCCTGACTCTGCTGCTCCTGCACCTCAGCTCATCCTTCACAGAGACCTCCCCAGGATGTGTCTTAATGCCAGTGACTCTTCCCACCCCCCAGTCCCCATGCAGCTCTGCCCAGGCCATGCTGGATGTGGAGAGACGTCTGCAGGTCATCCGCCCAAGTGGATTATTCTCTAGAAGACACCACAGGTGTGCAGGGCCTCAGAGCTGTGACCCAGGGTGCAGCTCCTGCAGCTGCTCACCCTCAGGCATGAAGACGAGAGCCAGGATGGCACCACCAGCCAGGAGCAGGACAGTGGCCTGGGTGATGTGCCTGCCCAGGTAGCTTATGGAGAGGATGGTGATGAGCTTGGCAGGGATGTCAACACCCCCGAAGATGACCTGGAGGATGTAGATGTCCACTCCAAAGTCCTCCACTCCCATGGCCAAACTGTAGTAGGCGAAGCCGGTGGAAAACCTGATGGATAGGGGGCTGGGTTGGCTCTGTGGCCTGGCTGCAGCCTTTGGGCACCTAGGTGCTGAAACGTTCCTTCCTCATGGTGCTGCCTGCCTGTGACTGTGGGGTTTCTGAGAAATGGCTGACATGAAGGTCACAGTGGAGCAGCCCACAGCCAGCTCTCAAGGGCGACTGAGCGGGGGTGCTCTCCAAGAGCCCAAGGCAGGAAATGTCCTGTGTGGATGGGCAGCGTGTCAGCTGTCCCTCCTACCTCTCTGGGCCCAGGAATCCCTCTGTTAGGGGCTGGGCTGTGGTGGCCCCTGACTTCTGGGCTTTGTCCATTGCCCTGTGTGGCCAAGGCAGGCAGGGAGGGCAGTAGTTACCAGGCCAGGGAGAGACAGAGAGTCACGCGACGCAGGATGGGCACTCGGAACAAGTCCATGATGCTGTACTTGACCTTGGCCAAGATGATGTCCTTCTGAAGGCTGAGTTTCAGCTCCTTGGACAGTGGGGGAAGAGGGTATGATCAGAGCGACCCAGGGGCCCCGAGAGCAGGGGCCAGGCCCCTCCACCCTACCTCCACACTGAGCTTCTCCCCTTCTTCTTTCTTGCCGTTGAAGGTGGCCACACGCCGCAGTGTCTGCAGAGCCTTTGAGAACTTTCCAGATAGCACCATCCAGCGGATGGACTCGGGGATCCACCTGTGGGCAGTTGGGGTGCTGCGGCTCCTCCTCCTTGAGCCCCAGGGAGGCTGGCAGAACCGTGGGTTGGGGCTCGGAAGCCAGGGTCCCTGGCTGTAGGTCTTTGGGGTGCAGGTTGGACCCACTTTGCCCTGGGCTGAGCTGCTAGCACCCTCTTCTACCCCCAGAGGGGTGTCCCTCAGCACCACCCCGGCCCATTGTCACTGTCATCTTCCAGGGCTGGGTGGTGTACTCAGCTCCAGCATTCCCACCCCACTTGCTGTGGCCTCAGCCCCTGTGTCTCTGGGGAAGCAAGGCTGTGGCCTGGGGAGTGGGCTGGGGTCCCTTGACTCTCTGTGCCCAGGACCAGCCCATTGTATGTGTGTGCATGGGGTCTCAGGACTGGGCTTGTGCATCACATCCCTCTCCTGAGCAGGTAGAGGCCAGGCCAGGGAGAAGGTGTGGTGTTTGGAGACGGCTGCTCAAAGTAGGCAGCTTCACTGTGGTCCCTGCAGGTGCCTGGGCCTGGCCCTGGGAGGCCTTGGGCCAAGGACTTTGGTGACCTGGTCTCAGACCGCTGGCCACTCGCAGCAGTGCTTCCTGGGCCCTGAGACCCGCCTTGTGCTGTGCAGTTCCGTCTCCTCTAAATCTCCCTGAAAGGGCCAGGCCCATGGCCTGGTCCCTGGCAGCAGTGACTCCTGGGTAGTGAGCATCCTGGTGCCAGGCTGGGCCATGAAACTGAGCAGTAGGCCATGCTACCCCACTACCTAGAGAGTGCACACGTGACTCGGAGTAGGTGGGAGGGGGTTTAGCCGTGCCTGCCACCTCCTGTCACCTCCCACCTGTCACTCCCTCCGCCTGCCCCAGGCCGTGGAGAGCGTGGGTTCCCCGACTGCCATTCCCCCAGCAGCTTCCACCTTCAATCATGGAGAACAGCTTCTCCTGAGCCTCAGGACCCCTGCTCTGTGTGGATGGTGGTGCTGCCATCCATAGCTATGCCTGAAACCAGAGCCTAGGCAGGCTGATCTCCAGGGGGTCTCCAGGGGACTCAGTAGGAATCACCCGACATCCCCTGGGTGCATCCCCTTGGGGACTCTGGCTGTAGCAGTCAGGGAGACTCATTTCCTCCTTTAGGATGGCTTGGGCTCCATAGTTGACAGTGAGCTCTGCCCATGCTGGGTCTCCTGTTGCCTTCTCTACCTCCATATTCTATAGATCCCCCCTCCAGCATGGCTTCTTGACCCCCATTTTCCTCCTGCAATCTCCCCTCTGCACTGGTCCTGACCCAGGGCTATCCTTCTGCACCAAACCTGACTGCTGCAGCTCCTGGTACCAAGCTGGGGCCACTTGGATACCCACCCTAGCCACCCTCCTTCAGCCCAGCACCCAGGGCCCACCCCTCCAGCAGTAGTCCCTGTCTGGGGACTGGCAAGATGGGCTGTCAGGAAGGAGGGGACGGGGTCACATACCAGGACAGCAGGGAGAAGATGAAGAATGGTACGGATACAGTCAGCTGCAGCCAGCGCCAGTGGGGGATGGCGTAGGCCAGGCCAGACAGGAGGAACTGGCCGAAGGTGTAGAAGTAGCCGATGGTCGTGGATGAGATGGCCCGAATCCGGGTGGGCACCCACTCCACATCTGTGGGGGGATCCCGGGCGGTCAGGGCCATGCTGAGGCCACGCTTGTGCCCCCTGCAGCCCAGTCACCCCAGATTCCTCTTGGCCCTGTGGGGCAGAGCTCAGAGAAGCTCAGGAGAGACCTGTTGGACGTCTGCTTCCCAGTTCCTGCCCTGACCACTGTCCCAATGGGCTTTCCTCATCTGCACACTCGGTCAAGTCTGTTCCTAATGGAGCTCCAGTCCCAGGGAGTTCTCAGGATTCATAGCTGCTTTTTTTTTTTTTTTTGAGGCACTGGGGTGGTCAAACCCAGAGGTCTCTATCTCTGAGCCATATCCCGAGTCTGTTTTATTTTTTATTTTCAGACACTATCTCGCTAAGTTATGCAGGTTGGGTTGGAACTTGCTATCCTCTTGCCTCAGCCTCCTGAGTAGCTGGGGTTGCAGGCGTATATCATTGTGCCTGGCCACAGCTGCTGTTATGCTTGTGGCAACTGTTACATTCGCGGGACCTCCGGGGTCCTGACGGGGGCAGCCCCTTGGCCAAGATCCTGGGCAGCCTGCGGGGGACCAGGCTGGGTCCACTCATGGCCTCTGGTGGGCTCCCCACGTCCCATGCCTCTCCCAGGCTCACTCAGGATGACGGTGCTCAGGCTGATGCCAGAGATGCTCAAGCCGCACAGGAAGCGGAAGACCATGTAGACGGGGAGGCTGGGGCTGAAGGCTGCACCCGAGCCGCTGGTGGCCAGCATGAGGTAGCTGAGGGTCAAGATGGGCTTGCGGCCAAACCTGCGGCAAGGGAGCCAGGCGGTCAGTCACACCTGCCAAAACCAGTGACTCTGCAGGTTTGGGAAGGGCTTCGCCCCCTGCCTCTGCCTGCTGCCTGAGGACAAGGGCGTGCCGGTCTGTAGATAGGGCATGGCTGGTAATTGCTGTTTTTCAACAAGTCTGCAGTTAGCTCTGAGTTAATGAATGACCTCTTCTGGCCCCAGCTCAGCTGATCATGGTGTAGGGGTCAAAGGTACAGCCCATGTGCCCTTCTTCTCCCCACATGGCCATGTCCGGGAACATGGGGACCCCAGGTCTGGGAGGCCCAGAAGTCTCCACTGTGAGGGCTGGGGTGGTGGAAGCCTGGACAGGTAGACCTGCCCGCACCCCTGGCAAGACCCGGCCCATCTTCTCCTGGCAGGCACGGCCAAACCTCACCTGTCGGACAGCTCCCCCAGCACCAGACCTCCGATCAGGATGCCTGCCATGAAGACTGACTGCGTCATCTCCTTCAGCTTGGAGGAGTCGCACACCAGGTCCCACTGGAGAAGTCGAGATGGCGCCTGTTAGCACCCACCCCGCTGGGCTGGCTCTCCTCCACCTGCCCTGGATGCCGTGACCTTGAGCCATGCTGTGCAACACAGCGTTCCTTGGACCTGTGTGGCCTGTGTGTGGCATCCAGGCTCCTCCGTCCAACCTGTCCTCCACATTGTGTCCACAAGTACCCACAGCTCTCTGCTCTTCTCCTCTCGTCCTTACACCCTCATCTTACCACCTTCTCCAAGGGACGTCAGTGAGGTCACCGGCCACCGCTCAGCCTCATCTCACGGCTCAGCCTGTCCCTGGGTGCACGCGGCCAAGCTCACCAAACACCACAAGCTCTTGTTCATGCACGGAAGCCCTTTGTGTCCTGACTTGGCTTGTCCTTGGTGCTGTGGACACTGCTGTCCTCTCTTTGCTTGGTGTGTCCAGCTCTTTGCCCTGCCCTCTTCTCTCTACACAGCCCCTATTTCCCCCCAAGGCCCCTGGGTCCCCCTCTCTGTCCTCCCGTCCCTGTGGTGTCAATGATTGCGGATGCCCAGGATGCAGCCCCATTTCTCCAGCCAGCTGACTCTGCCACTTCTCTAAAGCCCACCTGGGTGGCATCACACATAGGGACACACCCAGTGGGATGTGTCACCTGTTCTTGCAGCTCCCAACTGAAGTGACTGGCACACTGTCTTTTAATATTTAAAAATGTGTCTTGTTTGTAATAGATGAACCCTAATAGCAGATGTTTGTGGGATACAATGTGAGGTTTTAGTGCTGACCACCTAAGGGACACACCCATCCCCTTCCTGGTGGGACACAGGTGAAGTTTGTCCTCTTGGTTATTTTGAAGCTCAGTGGACTCTGTGCATGTGCTGTGTGATGGATCCCAAATTTACCCCTCCTGAGTGGCCCCACGGCCAATCACCCCCTACTGCCTATGAAAACCATCATTTTCTAAAGATTTAACTCTGATGGGTTTCACACAGGAGTGAGATCACACTGGTTACTCTTCTGACTCCTGCCTCTCCTGCCCCACAATCCCCTGACACCTTCTCTGAATCTGGGTCCCTCCATTTCCGCTGTGGCCGCCCAATCTGTGGGCCCAGCCCTTTTGCCCTGGCATTAACAGCAGTGACCAGTCCTGTCTAAGGGCTTACAAGGCGCAAGGCATTATTCCAAATGTACCATCTCTGTATTAACTTCCTGAATCATCAACCTTGTTATGTAGCATCTTACAAATGGGGAAGCTGAAGCCCAAAGTCTCACTGTGATGATCTTTGGAGGGCTGAGGGCCTCCATCTTCTCCAGATAATCTGATCAGTGGTGTTCAACACTGCCAGCTCCAAGCAGGCATCTCTCTAAGAGACTCTCTGGCTGGGCCTCTTGGCTAGCACTGTGGAACCCAACAGACAGGCCTACTCTCCTGCTAATCCTCACACAACCCTTTGCTCCAGCCATCCTGATTACTTGTGTAATGGAGCGGAGAATGGTATCCACCAGAAATGCCTCCCAGGGATATGTCAGAGGTAAGACAGTGTGGGAACCACAGGTTCAGGGACAAAGACTTGTTCCTGTTCTCTGACACAGGTGGGGAGGGCAGTGTGGAGGAAGATGTCAGTGCCACCCGCTATCATTGTGGAGAGTCAAGAGGAAGGACCAGTTGTCCATGAAACCCACTCACCCCTTGGTGCACCCTGAACGGTGGCCATGTGGCTCCTGATAATGGGACTGAGTGGAAGATAGACAGCCACCTCTGCACGGGATGCTGCCTCCCTTCTCAATGCGGATGGTGACAAATGGAACAACTCTGGAAGCCCAGTGTGGAGGACCCAGAGCCGGGGTCACCATGTGTCCTGGGTGCCCCAGGGAGCCTGAAACACTTCGCACTGTGGAACTTTGATAAGCTGTGGATTACTGTTGACTCAGGGCAGCAACATAGCCTATCCTGATCCATCCCACAGGTAGATTTTCATCTCAGTCTCTATGATATTTAGAGCCTTAAGTGATTTGTGCACAACCATATTTATAGCAGCCCAGCCCACTATAGCTAAATCCTGGAAGCTGTCTGTATGCCCACCAACAGACAAACGGATAAAGAGAATGTATTATTTACACGCAGTGGAGCACTACTCTGTCATATAGAAGGATAAATGAGTCATTTGTAAGAAAATAGATGGATCTTAAGATCGTAATACTAAGTGAAATGAATGGTTTTTCTAAAACAAGAAGCCCAAAATATAAATAACTTAAGGAGCAAAATAAAAGCAAGATGGCAGGAAACAGGAGTAGACTCCGTGGAAGCGGGGAGGGGAGGGGGGAGGGAGAGCAGAAGTGAAGGGGCGTGTGCGCTGGATCCCATGACCAGTGTGATCATTAGGCTTTACAAACACACACTGGTGTGACGCCTGCTTGGATCGGTTCAAGGCTGCTGCCTGCCCTGTCTGAGGCCAGATCTGCCTGGACTCAGTGTCTGCTAAGGGACTTGGGACGATGCAGGCTTTAGAATAACTGTCACAGCTGGTTTCCACCAGAACATTGAGCATTTTACAAGAAGTGTCATTCCTGGAGTGAACTTTGAGTCTCTTTTAAAACGTGTCCAAATCCTTAAAGCCCTCCAGGCCTAGAGCCTGCTCTGCTTCTACCCTTCTTGTCTCCAGTCCCTGCACGCCCCACTCCAGCATTGTTGTCCCTTGGTTGCCCCCACACATCAGGCGTGTGTCCTACTCTGCAGGCTCAGCACTCACCCCTCTGTGCCTGGAAGGTCCTGCGCTGCTTGGGCCAGCACCTCCACTTCCTTCAGTCCTCACTCAATGCCATCTTCCCAGTGAAGTCTTCCTGATCACCTTGTTAAAAATTATAACCCCGGTGTCTGTTTCTCTCTCTCCTACTCCATTTTTTCTGTAGTGAATGCACCACCAGATGGCTGCTCAGTTTTCCATTCTTGTGGATTGTTGTATTTTTTTTCTCCCCAGAACACCAGCAGGATGAGGGTCAGGCTTTGAGTCTGTTTTGTTTATTGCTGTATTTTCATGGCCTGGAGTAGTGCCGCACACATGGTGGCTGCTCAATGAATACTTGTGGAATTGATGAGTGAGTGAATATTTACAGGATAGATAGCAACAGCGAGCCGTGGAGGCTGGAGATGTGCTGTGTCTACTTGAGAGGCCGCCTGGTCTGTTCTCCAGACGCCTTGAGAACACTCACAATGAGTGTGTGTTAGCACAGACTGTCTCTAGCCCCGAGTTCCCCACTGCACAGTCAGGAGAGTTCTTCCTTCATGATGACTCAGGAAAAGATCTACGGCAGGTTGTCCTCTGGAGTGCGATTGTCCTTCAGTGAGGTCCTGAAGTTCAGAAGGGGCTGTGTTTGTGATTAAATATATAATGAATTGGACTTCCATACACTTTCAATCTCTCCTGGAAGCATCACATTTCATCAGAACTGTTGAGGCACTGTCGCCATGGCTGCCTGTCTCCACAGGAACCCAGGGCCTCTGGTCTGAGATGCACAGCATCGTCAGCTTAGCTGTGTTCCCCAAAAGATATCTGGAGTTCTAACTACTCGTGCCAAGGGTGTGATCTCATTTGAGTAGGTCCGTGCAGATGTACTTAGCTAAGTGATAGTGAGCTCACAGCCAACAGAGTGGATCCCTAGTCCACCGTGACTGGTGTCCCACAAGGGGCACCACACGCAGGGACAGTTCCATGCCGTGATGGAAGCAGATGTCAGCAGAGTCCACATGCAAAGCAGGAATGACATTGGAAGAGGCAAGGGTGGCTGCTTCCCGGGGTGGAGAGCATACTGACACTGTGATCCTGGGCTTCCGGCCTGTACATCCAAGAGGCTACAATCTCCACTGCTCTAGGTCACCCAGTTTGTGGTGCTTTCCTTTGGCAGCAACAGAAACTCCTGGCACTCTGGTTCCTGAGTGTGTCTGCTGGCCACACAGGTGGTGATGGAGCAGAGGAGATTTGAAGAGAGGGAACCAGGTGCAGAGAAAAGGTGAGAGATCTTTGTCCTGGAGACGCTTAAAGAGATTTTCACATGCTTTCTGTGTGGTTAGCTATGCAAAGGCCCAAGAATAGCCCGCCACAGAAATCCACAGCAGAAGGGCAGTTATTACGCCAGGCGTTGAGTGGGGCTTGTGTTTCCTTGGGCTCTCCCTCCATGCCCAGCATCCTGTCCTCACCTCCAGAAGGGCATAGTTTGCATGGCATCCTAGCTGCTTATTGACTTGTTTTCCTCCCCTGCATTCCATAACCTTGTGGAGGGCAGAGCACATGTAATTTGACTTTTTATCCCTGGAAGCTAGCAGAGTAGCTGGTAATAGTGAGTGTTAATGTTTGTTTGATGAATAATTAATGAGTAAACAGGGCTAGGTTAATGTGACCATTTCACTGATGAGGCCAGAGAAAGAAAAGTAACTTGCTGGTCAGGGGATCAGCAATGGCTTCCTGGTGCTCTTATCTGGCCCTTGGCATAGCCTTGACTCATTTTTCCTATTAACTGTTGGCAATCCCGCCTGGTGTTCTTGCTCCCCAAGTCTTAGCCTGGCACTCTTGGCCTTTCTGTTTTCCTTCCTTGGAGTGCAATGGACCTGGATTAGGAAGGGAAGGATGAGGAGCCTCCTGCTATGTCTTGCTGAATGGCTAATGCAACAGGCAGGAAGCAAGGAGGAAAGAAGGCTCTGTGAGCAGTACCATGATAATGTGATGAGGTTGGCCCCTAGTTTCACAGACAGACCCCAGGTTCACAGGGGAGGTCATGTGTCTGAGCACAGCACAGTTGTTTCAAGGTAGAGACTCAAACTCAGCTTTGCTGGTTTTCAGGGGAGTCCCTGACCTTGACCACTACTTCCCATGGTGGCCACGGAAAGCTGCTGTGTGGAACTGTGTCCTGAGTACCATGGGACAGGTTGGCCCAGGAGGACTCAAGCAGAGGAGGCTGTGGCCAGTGACAGGGCCAAGTGGGAGGAGGCAAGAGGCTCAGAAGCTAAGCAGCAGCAGGAAGGAGGCCTGGAGGCCCAAAGGCTGAGGCGAAAGAGGATAGGCAGAGCATGACCTCTGTGGATGGGAAAGTGTGCCCTTCCTCCGTTTGGGCCTTTGCAGCCAGGCCTATTCAGGGTGGTTGCTGCTGCACCCTTGGGCTCTCAAGGGAGCCTGTGCTCTGCCCAAAGGCCAGGAGGACTGGCCAGGGGTCCTGGGGCCAAAGCCCTGCCCCTGGAGCTGTGTTTCCCAGGGCCCGGCATGTGCCTTTCTGTACCTGTCTCCTCACCTGGCCCTGCAGGGGCTCTGTACCTGTTTCTTGGAATTGCAGACAATGGCTGGACAGCAGTGGCACTCTGGGTGCAGAGGCCATTTCATTACCATTGTCCTGTTATCGAAGGCCCCTGAGCCAGTGCCATGCCTAGGAGAGTAGCTTTTGTAAAGTGGTGCCATGAGATTGTTCTGCCAGAAAGGCCATGAGTGTGGCCCCTGGTCCTTCCTGAGAGTCAGGCTAGGAGAAAGGGGCAGGGCCTGAGTTCTGGGCTTGGGATGGAGGGGTTAGAGGGGCTACAGAAATGAAACAAGGTGGGACGGCTCTGTTCCAGCAGCCACTAGGTCCTCCAGGGACATGTGTGTACATGTTTGCTCATGCCTGTGTGCATGTGCATGCACTTATGTGTATGGGCCTTGCCTGAGAGTAAGTGTAAGTGTTTGTTCACATGCACACATATGCACACGTGTGCTGGTATGTGTGCACGTGCACACATGCATGTGGGTATGCATATATGTGCACAGTGCAGTCCAGCTATACACAAGTGTGCACAGTACACATGTGTGCATGCAATTGTGTGTGCAAGGAGAGCATGCAAGCACACACACATACGTGTTTGGGCTTCCAGGTGTGCATAGATGTACAGTCCAGGTGTGTGAATGTGTGTGCATATGAGTGTGTGTGTGTGTGTGTGTGGGGCTTCTGGTGGCCCAACAGGAGCCTAGAAGTTGGAGGCTCAGGCTCCCAGGGCCTAGCACCCAGGCTCCCCTGCTCTGCAGACTTGGAAGAAAGGCCTTTGTTTCTTTCCTCTTAATGTCTTCGAAAAGCTCCTCTGAAAAATCCTGACCTGGTTTCTGTGCCATGAGAAAAGAATGTGTGATTTCCCTGCCAGGAGGGCTTAGGGCATTGGAGGGAGGGGGAAATCTGTCCCAGTCTGGACCCCATGTTGGGTTCATCTTCACCTGCTGATTCTCTTGGTTGCCCCATTTGTGGATGGCCAGGCCCAAAAGGGCTGGTGAGCACAGGGAGGGCTGCGATGGCCCCTCCCTCTCACTGGGTCCTGGCTTGGCTTGTGAGGACGACTGACCTTCCAGTTTCCATGGCTCCAAGTGCTGCGTTGTTATCTCTCTTGATCCTCACGTCCACTCCCTTAGCTTTTTTTTTTATCGATGAGAAAACCTGGGCTTCTGGGTTCCGTGACGTTCCCATAATCCACAGGGTCAGGACTGAGCTCTGGCTGTCCTACTCCAACTCACCACATCCTTCCCTCACTCTCTGGTCCTGACTAGGGTGTACACACCGCCAGACACTACCTTCCTTTCTACTCATTCCTTGTCCCCTTCTTCCCACCAGAGCTGATGCTTGCAGTCCCTGCTCTGAGCCACAGTCCCCCAGGGAGGCCCAGCTGCTCCTCCCTCTGTCCCCAGGCCTGGCACTGCTGTTCCCTAAGACATGGCATGGAGAAGGGCATGACTCCCCAGGCCTGGTGAAGATTCACACAGCCTGATGCTGTCACAGACTGGAGTGTGGTTGACACGGGGGACAGATGCTTGGCTGCCTGCGGGGCTTGGGCCGCTGCTCATGGGGGTCTCAGGAGCCCACTTGGGCAGCAATGCAGAATGGCAGCTATTCCCCATGGCCACCCACTGGTCTGTGCACGTCTGTGTCCTGCGTAGGCTGGGGGGCCCCCAGGGTTGAGGGAGGGAATCTGCATGCAGCATTGACCAGGCATAAGCCAGGGCCTCCTGGGTCACAGAGGAGGGGGAAACACCACCCTGTGCTGAGGGGACACACCGAGAGATGCTGCCTGGGTGCAGGGCATGAGTCAGCCTGGTGATTGAGCCAGAGCCTTAGGGAACATGGGCTCTGGACCTGGTACTAGGTTGACTCCCCATGACACCATTCAGGGGTGCAAGGCCCTTATCAGTGGCTGTGCCTCCGTTTTCCCATCCTTGAACACAGGACCAGAACACAGGTGCTGAGTGCAGAGGGCAGGGCGAGGGTCAGTGCAGCTCCTCAGTGCAGCGCTCGGGGTCTGGGCACCTGGTGGCCACAGTGCGAGTGATGCAGAGGTTTGGTTGCACCGCATGGATTTTGTTTCTTTGCTGAGCCCTATGCTGGGGTTTTCATCTTTCCCTGGAAACTCCACTCCAGGTCCCTTCAGTCTGCCTCCCCAGCCTCTCAGACATCTATCCTTTCCTCAAGCTGCCATCTGTCCCACAACTAAGCCAACTGGCTATAGGGTCACCTGCTGCCAGAACAAAGCTCCCTGCAAGCCGACCTCCACTCTGCAGCTAGCAGTGACCCTCAGGTCAGAAGGAGACCTGAGCCACTGAAGTGGTCCTGCCAGCCACCACCGAACTCAGTGGCCCCTCATTGCCTTGTTATGGACCCACAACTTTGCCTTGTGCCCAAGCTAGGCCTCTCTAGCCCCATGTCTGAGTCCCATCAACTGCCCACTCCTGGCTCCTGCAGCCTTTCTGCCTGGTGCCCTCCATGCTTCTGGGACTTCCCATTTAGCCTTGCCATACACTGTGCCTGACCAGCCCTAGTGAGCCCTCAGGACAGCTCTTTAGCCCCAGAGCCCTCAGGTTTCCCAAGCATGCATTTGCACCTTGCAGAAATATCCACTCCCTGGAGCACCACTGGGCTGCCTTATTCCAGATGCTGGGGCATCAGAGCTTTCAGACAGCTGGAAATTTGGGAGGTGCGTGGTTCCCCCATGCTGCCCTGGCCCTGGGCTGGGTCTGTGTCTGTGAGAAGCTGCTTGCATTCTCAGGCTCCTTGGCCATGGCACCATGCATTGTGTGAATTCAAGTTTGGACAGGAGATGCATTTGGGTGCTGTGCTTGCTGCTAGGGACAGAGGGAGGACGCGGGATCTAGGGGAGTGGGATCCCCCGGTGTCATGTGAGGAGCATAGTGCATGTTGATCCTCATTGCCCCTTACTAGCAGTGTGGCCTCCAGCAAGCTGCTTGACCTCTCTGTTCCAGCTCCCATCTGGAAAAGGGGTCAGAATGCTAGCTGCTCACAGAGCCGTTGGGTCACTGTATTCATGTGTGTGATGCATTCAGAGCCATGTCTGTGCGTCACAAGGGCTCCGTATAGAAGTGAATTCTCCCTGAACATGGAATAACAGGGCTCTGAGTATAGACAGGTCTGAATTCAAGCCCAACCTCTGCTCACCAAGGAAGTGAAGGACATGGCTGAGCCTCAGTTTCCTTGTCTGCCTACTGGAAGCCAGGTGAGGACTCTCAGGGCAAGACCTGAACCCTTGGAATTAGTCAACCAAGAGGAGTGGGCTCACCAGTCTGCCCAGACACCTCCTCCTTCAGGAAGCTGCCCTGTGGTTTTGGCCTTTCTCTCAAACTCCCATAACACATCCCTGCACCTCTGAGCAGCCTTAGCTGTAAATTCCAGCCCTAGCTGACCGGCTCTGTGGCTCCAGACAGCCTGGCCTTGAGTCTCTGTAATGGGAGAGGTAGACAAGCTCAAACACTGAGACCTGGAAGACTACCTGGCAGTAGGTAGACACCCCAAAACCCAACTTCCTGTGTCTCTGTCTTCCTTTCCAGCCCCCAATTGGCCTCTCAGCTCATGAAGGAGCTGATTCAACTCTGCAGTCCCTGCAGGTGGCAGGTGACAGGGCTGGTGAGTCCACAGAGGATATGACACTCTGGGGCAGCTCCCCTTATTCCCCAGACTCCTTTGCTGGGCACCCCCTCCTTGCCCACCATGGAAGTTTCCTCTTCTCCCTTGTAGCTGAGGCGCCTTGCCCAACACTGGCCTCTCACCCCAGGGTTGCTTCTCTGGGGATGACCCTCTACTGTTCATCCGTCCACTCCTGCCTAGCTGGTGGGTCATTGTCTAAGGTCATGGTGCAGAGGGCTTTGGATATATAACTGCTGCTGTGTGGTGCTGCCGTGACTCAGAGTGGCTCGCTTGGGCTGTTGACCCAGGAACAGGGACCCACACTGGGCTGGCCCTGGAGCAGGCCGAGGCAGCCTTCGGCCAGAACCCACGCGGTGTGAGTCAGCACCTGACCCATCCCTGTCCTCAGAGACCAGCAGACCTGAGTGGTGCAGGGTGTGTGGGGTCCCTTAGGTGAGGATGAAGGGGCCAGGCATACCTCTGTCACAATGGTGTCCCCGCTGGTATTGTAGACCCAGCCGTCCAGGCAGGGTTCGGTGGCCACCCGGGTGGCGTTGGGCACGCTGGCATTGGGTGTGTGCACCAAGCGGAGGCACCTCTCAGGCTTCCCAGTGGGGTCCAGGAGGGGCACCCAGGGCCCTGTGGAGGCGTTGGGGGGTGGGCGACAGTGGTGGGCAGGGGTGGTGGCCGCGAAGATCTGCAGCAGGTTGTGGTTGGCCATGCCAAGGATCGGAAGGCTAAGCAGGGCCACGTGCAGGTACTGGAAGCGGCCCATGCTGCCCACGTGCTCCAGGAGGTCCGAGAAAGTCATGGCTCTGGGCAGGAAGAGCTGGAGCTTCAGGGGAGGGATCTGGCCAAGGAAAGGGGCATATGTGTGCATGTGACACACGAGCATGTGTTTGTATGTGAAGACGTGGGCTCAGGGTGGTGTCCACAGACTCACAGGTGGACACAGAGGCTGTGCCCAGCTGCACGGGGGTATGTAGGAGCAAGTAGGAGCAAGTGTATCTGCAGCTGTGTGGACACAGGCAGAGCTCTGAGTATCCATGCGTATGTGGGCATGTATGCGTGTGTGTGTGTGTGCACACGTGCGTGCATGTGTGCATGCATGTGCTCAGCCAGGCTGGTCACACCTGCCTGTGCATAGAATGGCTGGGTCCAGGGCTGCCCTGGTGGACATCCCTGATGGCAGATGCCCTGGGAGAAGGGACCCCAGCTCTCTGGCTTTAGCTGTTCCCCTGGCCGGGGTTTCCTCATTGAGGCACAGGGCAGTCCAAGCTGGTTTTGGGTCATCTGGGGCTGGGCTGGCCACAATGAGGAAGCAGAACCTGGCCTAAGGGTGCCTGGATGCATGCTTGGGGGCCCTGATCCCTTCTCACCTGGTGGCTGGTCTTCTCCGGTAGGATGGTGAAGCCGTCACTGGAGCCTGAGCTCTGTCCTAGGTAGGGTCCAGCAGCTGCTGGGCTGGACGGATCAGCTCCAACAAGCTGTGTTTGGGCCTCTCCAGGGGGGCTTATATAAGGCATAAGCTGCTTCTTGGGCTAATGTTTGACTTTCTTTGCAGGATTAACATCCCGGCAGGGAGAGCATTGTGGATCCAACAGGCCCAGCTCTGCAGAAACGGCTGCCTCAGCACAGGCTGGGGGTGGGGAGAGACTGAGGCAGGGGACTGCTGGCTGGACAAGTGCTGGTGGGCTCGTGAGCTCACCCTGGGTCTGCTTGGAGCCCCAAGGATGTAGGGTCCTCCTGAGCTGATGTCCTGGGACAAGGAGCTGAGACTGGTGGCAGGAGGCTGGCTGCTGACCTAGAGGGGCCGTACGCAGCGCCATTCTGCCCCTTCCTGACTGGCACCTCGGGGTGGATTCATGAGGCTTGAGCCCCAGACAGAGTTTATCTGGTGCTCTCCTCAGGCCTCCAACAACACTGTTGTCCTAGCCTTGGGGACGGCTGCCGGGGACCCAGTCCAGCCCCTCTGGCTTTGATTTTTCTTCGGACATGATTTAAATTATATAATATGTTTCTTGGACAAAGTGCAGGAAGCACTGACAGGCAAAAACCAAACCAAACCACCCTGGAATCACCTAGCGGGGGAGAGTTCTGAGGGTTGGCAAGGATTTACTTTTAGGCTCACAGAACTTTCACAGCAGCCCTTTGTTATCCAGATGTTGCGAGTAAGGAAAGCAAGAGGCAGAGCTACTTGCCCAGGGCCCCAGGAGGCAGGGTGGGGTGGTGTCTGCCCTCAGGGCCTGGATTTTGGAAGTCTATGTGGGTGTGTTCTTGTGATTTCTCTCTCTCTCTCTCTCTCTCTCTCTCTCTCTCTCTCTCTCTCTCTCTTTTTGTTACTGGGGATGGAATTTGGGCCCTTGCACTTGTGAGGCAGGTGGAGGAACCACTGTGTTCTGCAGGAACCTCCTTGGGAAGGTCAGCCGATGGTCCCTGCTATAGTTGGTCACCCCTGCCTGCCTATTTCTTACCCCTTAGGGCTCATGTCTGGGGGTGTGTTCACACTCTCATCCAGTGCTCCCTTCACTACTGTGCTCCCACCAGTGTCCCCAGGTTCCCCTGCTTACCAGTGGGCCATGGGCCACTTTGTTCTTCAGTGGCCTGAGGCAGTGTGAGATTCAGAGTCATCAAAGGACAATTAAATTACCCTCCAAGGTTGTGTCAAGAAGATTTTTCTACCTTGAGGCACAGGGAACTGGGGGGTCGTCACCTGAGGGCCCCCCCCCCTGGGTCTCTGCCCTCTTAGAGATTTTCTGGTTCCCAGTTTGCCCGTGCTGTCCATCTGTTCTGTCCCAGAGGAATGCTGTTCAAAGGTGCCAGCGACTCCCCTAGGTTGCTGGGGTTGAGCCAGAGTACACAGCCCCTGGAAGATGCCACTGGGTTCCTGATACCTGGGTCAGGGCCACTCTGATGCCCTTTTGTGCTGTGCAAGGTGTCTCATTTCTCAGGATGATGCTGCTGTGGAGGTCTGGGACCCAAACATCTCTGCAAGACTTCAAGGCTCCCACCCTGGAGGGGAGCAGGGTGACAGACAGATGCCACAGTTCCCATCCCCAGCACAGCTTTCTGCTCCTCAGATGTCTCAAACCTGAGTGGGCCCTGACGACTTGTGTGAGTGAGTAGCCAGGTGCCCCATGGGCTGGAGGCAGGAAAGCTGCAGAGCCAGCCCGTCCTAAGGGAAGCAGTGGCACCCAGTGCTGACTGTTGTTGCCATGGGGACATGCAGGCTCTGATGCCAGATCCTCAGACTTTAAAAATAGCTGGAAATCTGGACTTTTGTGTGAACATTTTCCAATTGTGTGGGCGACCTTCCTCCCACCTTCTGGGATCCCTTTGTCTCACTGCTTTCCCAGTGCAGAGGGAGGAGGGTGCTGGGCCTGCACTCCTTCCTGCCGGACTCCAGGGCTTGCCCATCCTGCAGGTGCCAAATGCCAGCCAGGCTGGGCCTTGTGCAGAAATGGGTACTGGAGGGGGGCACAGCAGGGAGATGCAGTGTCACGTTGTCACTTTGGTTTGCAGACCCACAGGGGACAGCAGGGGAACAGGAAGGAACCGGGGAGTCCGTGCTTGGCATCTGCACCCAGGGTACCTTTCCACATGCTCCCCATCTTCCAGGCCTCAAGTCATAGCTGCGTGGTTTCCTCTTGAGATGCCATACATGGTGAGGGAATAGATTGGGTCCCACACCATGCTTTCCCTGCATGGTTTCCAAGGTCAGTTCCTCCTTGACTCCTCCTTCAGTGTCACCTCCTCCAGGAAGCCTTCCAAGATCATGCTAGCACTTGGAAGTGCCCCTGGTTCCAGGAAGCCTGCTCAGTTGCCGTGTCCTTGGGGCTAACTTGCTGACCAGGAGGTGAGGAGGGCAGGCCTGCTCCAGGTGCTGTTTGGAAATCAGTGCTTTCATATTTAGCAGATGCTCCCCAGTGACAGACCTCAAAATCGGAGGAGGTTAGTGTAACGAGGGTGCAAAAGATCCTGGTGTTATCTCCTGTATAGGTGTCTGGGACCTCAGCAGAGGACCTTGTGTGTGCAGCCTCAGTTTTTCTCTACTGAAAAATGGGCACCATGATAACAGCTGCAATCTCATGGGGCTGCATGGAGAGTGGACACGTAGGGATGCTGAGCCCAACCTGTCCTAGGGTGGGTCTGGGCTGGAGATTGAGTCCATGTGGCGATGTCTCCCGCAGCAAGGGTCCTGCCTACCTTGTCCCTTGGTCAGCCTTGTCCCTGACTCGGCCTTGGTCTCTCTTGGGCCCAGAAGAGCAGGCGGATGGGGACAGCTTAACCTCAGAGTGGGTGGTATGTGAAGGAGTTGTTCAGCGGAGCTGTGCCCAGAGGCCCAGAGGCCTTATTTCCCTCCTGAAGGAGAGGAGGACCCTGGAGGTTACACAGCAGCGGCATGTCTCTTGTGAAGGAGACACAGGTTGGTCCTGCATGTGGGGCCAGGTGTGAGGAATACTGTGTGGCCCAGCAGGTCTGGGCCGATTGGGTCAGGTGATCTACAGTGGGTGCCCTCGTGTCTGTAGAAGCCCAGATCAGACAGGGCAAGTACCAGGGTCCCACCCAGGACTCTGAAGCCATCCTGGTCTTCTCAGCACTGGGGATGAGATGCAGAGGTAAATGCTGTCTGGAGCAGTGAACCCAGGTGTCATCAGGCACGGGGACAGAGGTGCCTCGGCAGGGGAGGCATCAGGCCTCTGAGGGTTGAGTCCTAAGCCTGCTGTTCACCTTGACCTCTGAATTCTTTCCTGGGTGCTGGGGCTGGAACCTGTCCTCACACATGCTTGGCAAACCTGAGAGCTGCGTACCCAGCCAGGGTCACACCAACCTCCGAACTTTGGTGTCCCTGCCTGCAGGAGAGGGAGAGGGATGATACCACTTGTTCTGTGTGCTGCGAGGGTTGGTGCAGCCCCTGTGGTCCCGGCCTCTGTGTGAGCTCTGCAGGGCAGGACAGAGGCCGCTTTCCTGGACCCCAGAGGCTGGTGCTGTGTGGGCTCAGAACAAATGCCGTCAGATGAGTGAGCAAGATGAGTGTGATGGGAATAAAAGTCAGCTCCTGGATGCAGATCCTGGGCCCAGCTGCCAGGAAGCAGTGGGCAATGTCAGCACCGCCTCCAGAGGGGAGCTGAGTTGGGGCCGCCGGTGAGCTTGGGGTGCCAAGGCCAGGGCACATCCAAGTCACCAGGCCTGAAGAAGTTGGGGTACTGAGCCAAGCAGTACACCCAGAGGCACAATGGCTGTCAGGGCTCACCAGCTGTGGAAGCTGTTTCCTCATCTATAAAACGTGTAAGCCACAGGTTGGAGGTCATGGGGCTGCTGGAGATAGTCCCTGCATTTCTTTCCTCCCAGTTCTCTCGGTCCCTCGGGCTATTTCACCCTGGGGACAGCTGGGAGCAAGGCAGTGGGTGGTGTGTGGCATCTGCGCCAGTTTCGGGGGCTGGTGCAGGACTGCAGGGTGTTTCCCCCACCCTGCTCTGCTTCTCAACTGTCGGCAGACCTGCTCCATCTTTGTCCTGCTATCTCCTGTTGCTGTCCCATTTCTGCCAAGGTCCTTGTCCCTTGCACAGTGCCCTTTGGTGGCTGTGGGGCACAGATTGGATTTTGTGGGGTCTCAGATATTTTGGTAAAATCTTGAGATTTCATCAACATAGGGAAGAAACCCACCCTGTGGTACCTGTGGACAGGAGGACATGGGGCCTGAAGCTCCACTCCTGAATGAACGTAAAAGCAGATGCAATGCCTCTGAACTAGGGGCATCCAGAGTGGGGCTCCAGCTGCACGGTTGTGACAAGGTTGCCTGGGCTGGGGACCCTGCTGCTCCAGTACCAAGTCTTTACTTGAGGGGCTGGCAAAGTCCAGTTAAATGGCGTACCATGTGCTAAGTGTATTTTGCTGCACTCAAAAGTACCAAGGAAAATGCTAGTCTTGCTACTTGAAGGCCAAATGGCCTTGTTTAGAGCCCTTATTCTCTGGGCTTCACTTTCTTCCTTTGTGAAGCAGGGGGCAATAATGCCTACTTCACTGCCACCCCACCCACACCGCCAACCTCCTGTGGCCTCCTCCATGAGCTCCCGCGGCTCTGTTCCTCCCTGCCATCGTCCTCAGCTGAGCAGTCGGAGGACCAAGCTGCTCTCCCATGGACACTGTCCCAAACTTTCCCTGGGTCTGCAGGTCTGCTCCCACAGCCTTTCCTCTCCATGCTTTTGGCCACCCCTAACCCTACCTTGCTCTCATCCCGTGTTCTTTCTTTCTTCAGCCTTGGCTGGAAGGTCACTGTCCCTTGAAGAGTTCTCTGGTCTTCCTGACATTGGCATCTGAGCTCCAATGTCACCTATTGTTCTCCAGATACCATTCCTCCCACCGAGCGGGTGCCACCTAGGTTCCCAGGCTTATCACTGCCGTCCTGTTTGATTCCCTTCATAGCACCTGGGCTTCTTAGAAATGATCTTATTTTTATGAAACTGGGTCATTCACCTGGCTGGATTTGTAGTCTGAGGCAAGAA